TGTTCTCAAGGGGTTCCGTTAAAAGGTCTCTATATTTATGGTCAATGGAAAAATTTCAAGGTCAGATATTTTTAACAAATTTTAGAAATCAAGTTTAAAAATAGGATGGTTTGAAAAATTGCAACAAAAAAAACATTTCTTTTGTGACAAATTTTAAAATGGTGTAACATATTCTATAGCTTTTTTATCTGCACACAGTAAATCTTAAATGAAGATTGCAATCTCTTTTTCAAAGACTAAAAGTTCTAAAGAAGTAATTAAATTGGTTGATAGTTATGCCATTTAAAAAAAACTGAATTTGCTTCGGTCCTAAAGAAAAATCTTTAAATTCCAAGCCGTGTAGCTATATAATTGTATAAAAAAATACTAAAAGTAACTGAAGTTAATCAAACAAGGGTAAAATTACATTGAAGTATGTTCTAATAAGTTAGTTTTGACATATAAATAAGAGAATTATGAATTAAAAAATAATTTTAATAATCTTCTGTTGAAGTTTTCCTTCTACGACTATTGCATTGTCTGGTAAAGAATGCCGGAAACACCCATTTTTTCTAAAGCTGACATTCCTAATAATTGATTATGTTATCACCTGTTCAGCCATTTTGTAAAAAAAGATTTGATAATTTTGTTTCCAAGTCACAGTAAATAACCATTTTTATTTGAACTTTAAACAACTACAGCTATTTGAATAAGCAGAATTCAGGAACCAAGTATGAACAGTTTATGAAGTTTCAGCTAAAATTGTATCGCGCTGTGAATCGACCTACAAATGGAGGCTCACTTGAGATGTCGTCTAAACGAATAAAACTTGACATGTTCATAACCATGACCTTACACTTTACAACAATTGAAATATTCATCAATCATAGTCCTAAATTTGTTTAATGAGGAAAACAGTTTATTGTAAAAAATCTTTGTATACCTTAGTTTTAACATTGGTTACGAAAACAGTAAATGTCAAAATCTTAAATCATCCTTTTAATAAAAACATTGTGCCAAAAACTTTACATTTATAAAACGATACTTAGAAACGCTACAAAATAAAAACGTTATTCTATCATATTAAACTAAGTTTTGATCAAAGATAGTTTTGTAGATATATACATATATATATATATACATATATTTTTCCCTTTTAACCTTAAAATCAAAGAATACAGAGATCAGGAGACGGAGGTAATGTAGCTAACTTTGGTTTTTCAAACTCTGAAATTTATATGTCATATAAAACTTAAAATGTATAATTGTGTATGTGTTTTCGTAGAAAATATAAATAATAATAATAATAAAATAATACCCGCGGTGTTGCGCAGTACACATAAATGTTAGCGGCTGTCATGAGCACTTCAGCCTTGTTTACTGGGTGGAAGACGACCAACTGTGTCTAAACGCTCTGCATTTTATGTACAGGGTGTCCCACATCAAATGGATTGTTTATAGAATCTATATTTTATGTACAGGGTGTCCCACATCAAATGGATTGTTTATAGAATCTATATTTTATGTACAGGGTGTCCCACATCAAATGGATTGTTTATAGANCTCCAAGAGATTGTACTCCAAGAGATTGTACTCCAAGAGATTGTACTCCAAGAGATTGTACTCCAAGAGATTGTACTCCAAGAGATTGTACTCCAAGAGATTGTACTCCAAGAGATTGTACTCCAAGAGATTGTACTCCAAGAGATTGTACTCCAAGAGATTGTACTCCAAGAGATTGTACTCCAAGAGATTGTACTCCAAGAGATTGTACTCCAAGAGATTGTACTCCAAGAGATTGTACTCCAAGAGATTGTACTCCAAGAGATTGTACTCCAAGAGATTGTACTCCAAGAGATTGTACTCCAAGAGATTGTACTCCAAGAGATTGTACTCCAAGAGATTGTACTCCAAGAGATTGTACTCCAAGAGATTGTACTCCAAGAGATTGTACTCCAAGAGATTGTACTCCAAGAGATTGTACTCCAAGAGATTGTACTCCAAGAGATTGTACTCCAAGAGATTGTACTCCAAGAGATTGTACTCCAAGAGATTGTACTCCAAGAGATTGTACTCCAAGAGATTGTACTCCAAGAGATTGTACTCCAAGAGATTGTACTCCAAGAGATTGTACTCCAAGAGATTGTACTCCAAGAGATTGTACTCCAAGAGATTGTACTCCAAGAGATTGTACTCCAAGAGATTGTACTCCAAGAGATTGTACTCCAAGAGATTGTACTCCAAGAGATTGTACTCCAAGAGATTGTACTCCAAGAGATTGTACTCCAAGAGATTGTACTCCAAGAGATTGTACTCCAAGAGATTGTATTCCAAGAGATTGTACTCCAAGAGATTTTGCTCCAAGAGATTTTACTTCAAAAGATTGTACTCCAAAAGATTGTTTTATAAGAGATTGTGCTCCAAGAGATTTTACTCCAACAGATTGTACTCCAAGAGATATTGTACTCCAAGTGAGTGTACTTCATAAGATAGTGTTTCAAGAGAGAGTGTTACATGAGAAAGTATACTAAGAGGTAGTACTTCAAAGTAGTGTATAGTCCAAGAGAGTGTACTCCAAGAGTGTACTCCTTGAGAGATTGTACAAATACCATCTACGAATCTTTGATTGTATAAAGCTGTTTATCGCATGATTTGATTAGCCAGCCCCGGGTCAATACTATGTATAATGTGGAAGATATTGTCGATTTTTTATGTTTAATTCTGATAAATCGTTAATGATTTCCAGTAATAGAAATGCGCAGGTCACTTTGACTTTTATAAAGAACCCGTAATTAAAAATAATCAGTACCGTTGTGAATCCGTCATTGCCATCTTTGCATGGAAGGTCACTAGAAATTACGCTTAGAGTCCCTTTAAGCGAGGACAATTGGATGTCTGCAACATGCAATCGAGGTTGCGTGATTGTTATATTAGATTTTATTTCTAGAGTTAATCACGGAACCTCTTAACATGTTCTACGATATTGATGTTTGTTCTTGAAAACAAAGATAGTCCAAATACCAGAAAACGAAACAAAACAATTGTGCAGTGTAAAGAAAAGATGGCAATGCACGATTTAAAACTATAACCTTGAAACCTTGATCTGACTCGAAAAGTGTGAACTTTTGAAAATTTCTCCATTGTTTCTTATAAGCAAGAAATGCGCAAGAGACCTTTGCATGCAGAGAAACCACAAATGGAAATAAACAGTTTTGAAAAACTTAATCATGAAATTCTAATTCATACTTGATCAGAAATAGCTTTTAAGGATACTGTTGATAATCGAGCAAGATCCAAGGTTTTATTGCACGGAAAGTTACTTGCAGTCGCGTTTACTCTGCTTACATATTGAAAACAGTTCTCTCTGGGCGGAATTTGTAAACAAGAATAGATGCATCAGTGTTCGTTTAGTATCCGAGGAGGTAAAAAGCATTAAAATTTTGAAAATTTTGATAATTCACATAATAGTTTCCAATGACCAGAATATTTCATAGATTATTTTTACAGAGATCGATTAACACCTATAATATGCGATATTTTCCACAGCATGTTCTATTGTCAGTGTTTACTTTTCCGGCTAAAGACAGTACACTGCAGTACAAAAATGCGTACACCTCTGAAATAACTTTCCTTGCATTAGTACCTTGGAGCATTACCATCTATTCATGAGGGCCACTTTAAATTATGCTTACAGTCCATTTAAAACCTATAATTTTTTTTAAAATTATGGTAAATAACATCAGCAATGTTGTTTCGTTATTTATTTACCTAAAAACTATTTCCCAGTCTTTAAAAGCAAGCACAATTATCCAACCCCTCCTTTTTTCATTTTGACCTAATAGCCTAGAATTAACACCCCCTAATTTTAACCCCCTCCCTCAACTGTAGCAGCCTAGATGTGGTGTCTCAAAATATTTCAAGAATACAATATAAACAATTTTACTCAAACCCGCAATTAACAACTCTTTCGTGTATTTTTGGTAAATACGCAAAAAAATCTTCAGTGAATTGTATAGATAGATAGATAGATAGATAGATAGATAGATAGATAGATAGATAGATAGATAGATAGATAGATAGATATATAGATAAATAGATGTATAGATGGGTAGAAATTGGAAAGTTTTACATAACGTATTCAATGTTTGTCTTCAATGTGTGTCCTCAATATGCATCCAAAATGTGTCTCTTCAATGTGAGTCCTCAATGTACGTCGTCAATGTGCGCCTTCAATGTGCGTCCTCAATGAGCGTCCTCAATGTGTGTTCTCAATGGACGCCCTCAATGTGTGTCCTCAATGTGCGTCCTCAATGTGCATCCTTAATGTGTGTTCTCAATGTGCGCCCTCAATGTGTGTCCTCAATGTGCGCCCTCAATGTGTGTCCTCAATGTGCGTCCTCAATGTGCGCTCTCAATGTGTGTCCTCAATGGGCGTCCTCAATGTGTGTCCTCAATGTGCGTCCTCAATGTGTGTCCTCAATGTGCGTCCTCAATGTGTGTCCTCAATGTGCGTCCTCAATGTGCGTCCTCAATGTGTATCCTCAATGTGCGTCCTCGATGTGCGTCATCAATGTGCGTCCTCTCATTAATAATGTATTTTCATTAGTGCAATCGAATGAGAGTGTCCTGTATTGCAGTCCCCTACTTCTAGTGTTTAGGGGAACTGTCACTTCAAGTGACCTTATATTTTAAGAGGGGCATGACCGATTCACATCAGACCTACCAACGTCGGACTTACAAGCACTGGACTGGTAGTAACGTCTTCGGGCCAGTAAAAACGTCGGACAGTTCAAACGTCAGACAGTACAAACGTCGGACAGTACAAACGTCCGACAGTACAAACGTCGGACAGTACAAACGTCGGACAGTACAAACGTCAGACAGTATAAATGTCTAACAGTACAAACGCCGGACAGTGCAAACGCCGGACAGTACAAACGTCGGACAGTACAAACGTCAAACCAGGACAAACGTCAGACCAGTACAAACGTCTGACCAGCACACACGTCGGACAGTAAAAACGTTAGGCAAGTACATACGTTGGGCCAGTACAAACGTCGGACAGTACACACGTCAAACCAGGACAAACGTTAGCCAAGGACAAACGTCAGACAAGGACAAACGTTTGACATTTTGGCTTGGTTGAGTTCGTAAATTTTTTATCTTCGTTCTTGAAAATGTGATTTCAATCGAGTCTCTAAAAGGAAGCAACATTTTTTAAATCATTGGGTTTTACATCAAAATTTAGAGAATATGAGCAAAAATAAGCAATATCTGGGCTAAAAGAGCTTGAAACTGCGAAATGTATTGCAAACAATGAAAAACACACCTCATAAAAATATGATAAAAACCATGAAAAGAATAAGCAAAATTAATTTATATCGATTTTATAATCCTTTTTGTATATTTGGTAAAAATAATTTTAAATATTTGTTTAATGTCGACAAATGAAGGAGATATGACGAAAATCTGCGAACAATGTTAGTGCATATCTACACAAGTCATAAGAAACAAATTTAAAAAAATGTCATTTATTTTTACAAATCCTCTTTATTACATATTATGAATTATATTTTGAATGGAAAAATTGTTTGAATAGAAAATTCCAGAGTAAAGCAGATTTGTGCTGAAATCTTTTATTTACAAATTTAATTTTCGGAAACTTAGAAATAAAATAGAAAGAAAATTTTTTTCTCAAAAAAATAGTTTCGAGAATTTTTTTCTCTGTACATTTCATAGACAGGACATTTCATAGATAGGACATTTCATAGACAGTACATTTCATAGATAGGATATTTCATTGATAGGACATTTCATAGATGAGACATTTCATAGATATGACATTTCAAAGATAGGACATTTCACAAATAGGACATTTCTTAAATGGGACATCTCATAAATAGGACATTTCATAAATAGGACATTTCATAGATAGGACATTTCATAAATAGGATAGTTCGTAGACAGTTTTCACAGTAATATTATTTAATACAGCACGCCATGTTATTTCCACCTCACATCTTATTCATATTTTCGCTTTAAACTGATATCATAAATCTTGTTGATATCTTGTTAGTTGAGACACAAACATTGTAAAACAATATATTTATATATGCATTTTATTAAAAATATATGTATCTTAAGCTGATCATATTTTCTAATATATTGTGACACATTTTTGATTAACCCGAATGTCTGTCTATGAAATTTCCTCTCTAGTAACTTTTTTTCTATGAACTTTTTTTTCTGTGAAATGACTGTCTATGAAATGTCCTCTCTTGGAATTTTTTTTCTTTGAAATGTATGTCTATAAAATGTCCTCTCTAGGAACATTTTTCTATGAAATGACTGTCTATGAAATGTCCTCTCTTGGAATTTTTTTCTTCTTTGAAATGTATGTCTATAAAATGTCCTCTCTAGGAACTTTTTTTCTATGAAATGTCCTCTTTAGGAACTTTTTTTCTATCAAATGTCTGTCAATGAAATTTCCTCTCTAAGAACTTTTTTTTCTATCAAATGTGATCTCGAGGAACTATTTTTCTATGAAATGTCCTCTCAAGGAACTTTTTTTCTATGAAATGTCTGTCTATGAAATGTCCTCTCTTGGAAATTTTTTTTTCTATGAAATGTCTGTCTATGAAATTTCCTCTCTTGGAAATTTTTTTTATGAAATGTCTGTCTATTAAATGTCCTGTCTATGAAATGTCTTACTATGAAAGGTCCCAATACTTAAAAAACATGTTGTTAACATATCATTCATGCATGAAATGAGTGATAAAATGAAAATTTCATGATTAAAAGATTATTTGGTTCAGATCTTCTACAATTCCTAAGACAAATGAAAATATATTTTACAAAAGAAAACTTTTTTCAAGGAGATGTAACATTTTTTTAAAATTTAAATTACATTTTGGTCCTTTTAAATAAAAAATGTTAAGTATAGTAAAATATTTGATTTTTTTAAACAAAAAAGTTACAGAATTGACAAAAAACAAACATATTTTTTTTTAAATTTCCAATTTTTGAAATTTTTTTGCTGTCCTGCATTGTGTCTTTAGAACAGGAACACAGTGTCTTGAGAACAGGAACACAGTGTCTAGAGAACAGGAACACAGTGTCTTGAGAACAGGAACACAGTGTCTAGAGAACTGGAACACAGTATCTTGATGTCTTGAGAACAGGAACACAGTATCTTGAGAACAGGAACACAGTGTCTTGAGAACAGGAACACAGTTTCTTGAGAACAGGGACACAGTGTCTTGAGAACAAGAACACAATGTCTTGAGAACAGGGACACAGTGTCTTGAGAACAAGAACACAATGTCTTGAGAACTGGAACACAATGAGGGAAAACTTACAGGGCAAAAACAAGCTTCGACTTAAGAAACCATGATTTTTCCCAAAAAATTAATGTCCGAGATTCACCCTTTTATCTAATATACTTCTCTAATTTTGAATCTAGAATCTATTAATCTCAGTTTTATGATCGAATTAAAAACAATTTTGATGTAATTATTAGCGATCGATCACTTAATTGCATATTGCAGACACGGGCGTACGAGATCATTTGTGTTTAAAGTGGGGGCACCAAAATTTTTTTTGGTGCCCCCCCCCCCTTAAAAACCCCCTTTTTTGAAAAAATATTGATACCTTTTTTAACTATGTTCAGGTAAACTATTCGATCATATACACTTCCATATTACAAGTGTTAATAAATCATTCATGTGGACTCATCAGATCTTGATACTGTGGTGTAAGCTTCAAGGGGTGAAAAATAGAGATGGAAACGTTTCTTAAAAATATCTTTATTGAATATATATATTGTATAATATGTAAATACTAAATAATACACTTAAGGCAGTATTCATTAAAGCTTTTTTAATGAAACTTTTTTAGGTAAGAGCAAAAGTGAGATTCTAAAGTATTTTTCATTACCAAACTCTGATATTGTAATCCCTATATCTTCTAAACCCAATGTCGTAGACCTTAGATATTTCAAACTTTAAATCATGTTAGATCAAATATTCCTAGTTTGAAATATCAAAGGTTTACATCACCAGGTTACAAAGATACAGGGATTCAAAAAAATTTAAGCTTGTGTCAATACTTAATCAGACATAGCTTTGAAGGGTCGGTATTGTTGTGAATCTCAGAATATAATTTATTTATTTTCTTAATCTTTTAGCAAGGGCGNAGCTTCTTGGATACTTTAAAGGTACACAATACAGTCCAATTAACATACAAGGACTACTTCATCTCTCCATCAAACATTAAACTAGCAGAAAAAAACAGCAAATTAATGTTTTTAATACTCTTCACTCTTCAGTTTCAGATTTGAAAAGTGCGATAGCTCTGAGTTCTGGAGGGGTGGGGCTACGCCCCCCCTTTTACAGGTCTAGGTGGGGGCACTGCCCCTTGCCCTCCCCCCTGCATACGCGCCCTTGTCACGTTTGGGTGCGTGCAATGCAATGCAATGTAAAATTTCGATTGCATTAGGAATTGGGAAATGGAACCAGATGTAATTTTAAATGAGCCTCCCTCAGGAGATGCGTACGCGTAGGGGGGGGGGTCCCGTGCACCTCGCCCCCCCCCGTACGCGCCACTGATTCCCGGACTAATAGTAATTATTACGTATAATTAAAATTTTAAAAACTTTTTTATTTTTTGGGAACTATTATATGCAAATCTGTTTAAAGTTAAGTATGGGGGTCAAAGAGTGAATGGTTGTTATAAACAATTACTGTGCAGGCTGTAAAAAGGACGATTTGTTTCTAACCCGTTTTTCCACCTGTAAACTTCGACCTTCTTACCCCAACAACATATAATGGACTCGCCCAAAGCTCTCCTACTGACTGCCCGGTTGAAAACCGGTTTAAACAATCTTAAGAGTCGCTCATTCCTCCACTTGTTTCGAAGATTTTCTGTCCGTGTTGGGACAATTTGTCCGGGTCGGGCCGGCGCTACTACGGTGTGCACGGGCCGGCGCGGGGCAAACAACGGTTGCTTTGCACTCAGTATCGGTGTAACTAAGATCAGTGAAGGCCGACTCTTTGACGCACAAAATCTCAAAGTTCACCGCGACCGTAAAGGAGCTTTTAGCTACCACCTTGAAAACATTTTAGGACATTTTTCAAACGTTTGATGTGATTGTTAGGAATTATTTTGTGAGACATTGTGTGATAGTACTAACATTGATCAGCTGTTCAGAGTACAAAAGTAAAGAAGGAGATACAACTATGTGATTTTTTTGCATCCTAGTGAAAACTCGCAATTTTAAGTGAAATATTAAAACGCGATGAAAAGAATATAATTATGCCGGGAGTTTCAGGTTGGCCCGCCGATATTTTGATTTAAAAATATCATTAAACAAAAATTTCTACTTAGCCGGTTTTTTATTTGAAATAATATATATTTTGTTTTAATCAATGTAACACATTATATACTTTAATGATTAAAAATAAGCCGCCCCCAATTAAAGCTTTATTTTTGCTTTATTAAATATTATTTCCCTTATTAAACTAATTGATTTCGAGTATCGGTTTTCTTGTTAAATTTAACCACTTTTTTAATTATTCAAATTTTCAAAATTCGTCGGCCATAGGCAATGTGTCGGGAGACAGTCCGGACGAATTCTGTTCGTCGGACGAGGTTAAAGTGTTCAAGGATGAGGGGGAGGACGAGCAAGAACAGAATGCCTCCGAATGCCTCCAAGCCGAGCTTTTGGAGGAGAAAAGCAGTCTTATTACAGAATCGGAACAGGTGATTTTTTTTTAACTTTTTCAGAAATAAATTTTGTTCATCGATTTTCCTTACTCTTTGAGGCGCAATATTTAATAAAACCGGCTCCTATTTTATATTGTTGCGGGGTTACCCGTAAATGATGAAACTGTTTAATGGAAGATGTAAAACTTGCAAATATATCGATATTTACGATGTTTATTTTAACAAGTACCATAATTCTTTCTTTAAACCTAAACCGCAGGTAACTTCAAAAGAGAAATCACAGTTAATTATTAAAATATTAACTTCTTGATCAGACAAACCTTGGAAAAGTATCTTTGTGAATCCGCGCGTTTCTAAATTGAATTTTCGTATACTATCCCTTTACAAATAGACATGACGTCAACATAAATTAGACAATGCAGGACAATTCTAACTGACAAATATACATGGATAGACAGTACCCTGATCCCTGGATAGATTAGATAGATGAGATAGATAGGGGAATAGATCGTTAGTCAATTAGACTCTTAGGTAGTTAGACAGTCAGATAGAAACAAATATATTTGGACTAAAAGACGTTTAGCTGGATAGATAGAAATAGAAATTTTAAAAATAGGATAGAAGGTTATATTCATGCAGAAATATCCTTAACGAAATAGGCACTGAAGAAATTCATTACAGTTCTGATAAAAAGACAATTATTTGCGAAAAAAATATCAACTTAAATTGCAAATAATCAAATTTCTTATAATTTTAGTAATGTACGTTTTTTATTTCTTTCGGGCATTTCTTTGACAAATCTGGAAGATTTTGGTTCCGTTTAATCAAAATGGGAAAAAAGTTTTGTTTTGTAAGAAATAGTAAACTGTTTACTACTAATTTAATTCTCTTATTTAAACTTGGGTGTCAAATTTCATCATTTCAGGCCCAATGAATATTGTGTAATTGTACACAATAAATATTGTGATTATAATATGTTTATGTACAATGAACATTTTGTACAATTTACAATGTATACAGAGAAAATGAGTTATAATTGATATATTGTTTTTAGAGCAGCAGTGAGTTATCAAGAAATAGTAGCAATAATACATATGTATATGTGAAAATGCAATTAATCGCTTTTTTAGTGAAGAAAAAGTAATTCACTGTTTGCCATAAATAAAAAATTATTCAAGTTCAAGTAGCAATAAAATAAGCAATAGACAGTTAAGATTAGCAATGATTAAGCACTAAAATGCGACTTTAAAACTGGTTTTATTTCCAAGAATGTGAATTTCACTCTTTTTCAGGATTTTTTATTTGTTTTATGAGGGGGGGGGGCAACGGGAAATACCAGATTTAAACCGGACCTTTTTGCAAATATAAACTGAAAAGAATAAAAAGTGGCCTAGTGTAGTCCAGTGAGGGGGGGGGGTCATTTTTAGCCTCCACGCTATGTTTATGGAACAATAACGAACTGTGTAATTTAAAAAATATTTTTCATTTATTTTGACAGTTTCAGTTTGACCACTGGTATTGGGGAAGGAGGGGGGAGAGGGTAGATTTGTCAAAAATATCATTAATTCATTAATTCATCTGTCATCCATTGATCTTTTCAAATATTTTTACGTTCATCCATATATTTTATGAAATAGTAATATATCCACACCAGGTCTATACAACTATTTGATCCATACGTCTATTTATCTATCTGAATGTAAATCTTCTGATAAACCTGAATTCATCTATTTAAATCTATCTAATTAAATCTATCTATTAATCTTCATAAATCTATCTATTAATCTACATAAATCTATCTATTTTAATTGATCTATCTAAATTTATCTGTTAATCAATCTGAAATTATTCATTATTTATTTGAATTTATCTATTAATCTATTTATCTATCTGTTTGTATCTAAATCTATCTTTTTATCTATCTATTTATTTAACTAAATCTATCTATTCATCTTTCTAAATCTACCTAAATCTATTTATCTACAGTGTGAGTAAAAAAACCGGGATTATCTCGATGTTTTTGACAAAATTTTCAAAACTAATATTTTATTCCGATTTTAGGCATAAATAAAAAAAGTAAAAAAAATGAAAAATATTTTTGGAACAATTAAAAAAATCCGTGAATCCAATTTTTTAAAATTAATATTTTTTGAAAAATTGTTGGGAAAATGTTTATTCTATTGTTTTCCAAAATTTCACGAAAAGTCATCAACAATTGAAAGAGATATAACAAAAACTCCTCAAAAAAATTAGAGTGGAAATCTGCAGTAAATGTTATCAAATTAAAACCCTAGAACTGTTATGACTTCAAAATGCAAATACTTGGCTTACCTTTTTTTATATCTCATTCAATTTTTTAATAAGCTTTCATGAAATTTTGGAAAACAATAGAATAAACATTTTCCCAACAATCTTATAAAAAACTTAATTTTTACAAAAAAAAAATAGCTTCGTGGAATCGTTTTTTTTAATGTTCCATAAATCTTATTTTATTTTGCCTTACGTTCCAAACAAAATAAAAATTCTAAAATTTTGTCCCAAACATCGATAATCCCTCTTTTTTTTGGCTCACCCTGTCTAAGAATCTTTTCGATACGAATCTATTCGCATCTATGTCTAAGCTAAGCTATCAATATTATCGAATCCCCCGCGGTTTAATCCTAAAGGCCTGGGGTGGGGGGCGGTTTAAATCCTATAGGCCTGGGGGGAGATTATGGGGACAGAACAGTTAAAATCTTAAATTTAATTTCTACGAAGACGGCCCNCCGGATAAATCCGTTGATAAAAAACTAAAGTTCACTGATAAAAGTAATCCCTGGACAAATATTGAAAATGATTCATAGTTTCATACAATACTGTCGAATATATATATATAATCATCAATATTAAACATTTTTTCTTCTTGTCCTCCATAGTCGGCCTATCATCCGTTTTGTCCAATATATCCGTCATTTCCTCCAACTTGTCCTATCGTCCTATTTGTCTAATATATCATCATTCCTCCCACTTGTCCTATCGTCCTCTATTTGTCCTATATATTCGTCCTATCCTATTTGTCCTATATATTCGTCCTATCCTATTTGTCCTATATATCCGTCCTGTTCTTTTCCTTGTCCTACATATCTGTCTCCAACCTGTCATATCTTCTTATTTGTCCAATATATCCGTCTTATCCTGCTATTTGTCCTTTATATCCGTCCTTTCCTTCTTGTCCTATATATCCGTCCTATCCTATTTGTCCTATACATCCGTCCTATCCTATTTGTCCTATACAATCGTCCTATCCTATTTGTCCAATATATCCCTCCTGTCCTGCTATTTGTCCTCTAGTATATATATTTCCATCCTGGTCTGATGCTAAGATATGATCTCTAAGAAATGTGAAAATTCTAGCTTCTCATCTTATACAATTGTAATCTTGGCAGATTTCTGATTCATTTCTAAATGTATTTTTAACAACAACCTCCTCACCCCAGCATTCCCCCCCTTCTTATTTTATTTTTTGTATTCTCTCCTTAATTCGTAGTTTTAACCTTTTAATTATGTTGGATAAAACGTTGTCGAAAACTTGGTTTTTATTTTTTACAAATTTCTGCCAGTTTCTTTCTTGTTTTTTTTTGTAGAAAACGTAGAAAAAGGTCTGATATGAAAATAAAGAAGACCCCCCTCCCTTCCCTCACACACTTCCCGTTTTACTGCCTGAAATTAAATAGAATGACTGCCTGACTGCTTGAAAACGTAATAACATATCCTCATCAAATAATAAAATGATACTCCATACTTACTTACTTACTTACTTACTTACTTACTTACTTATCTATCTATCTTTCATACTTACTTATCTATTTATCTTTCTTACTTACGTATCTATCTATCTTTCTTACTTACGTATCTATCTTTTTTACTTACTTATCTATCTATCGATCTTATTTTTCTATCTATCTATCTATCTGTCTATATATCTTCATACTTGCTTAACTGAGATTTTTTTAGTTATGGAAAGAAATTGTGTTTTGTGTTTTTTTTGGGCTGACAGTCAAGACAATTGAAAAGACAAAAATTATGGACTTTTTTTACACACCCGTTAATCCCTTTAATCCCTAGGGACCGGGGTCCAATCCCTGGCTTGATCACAACATATTCAGGCATTTTCAAGTAAGTGAGTCTCTAAGATAAGTGAGCAAGTGATTTTGTAAGATAAGTGAGTCGGTAAGGTAAGTCAGTGCATTTTAGTAAGTGAGTCAGTTAGTGACTTATGAAAATAAGAATAAGTAAGTTTTAAGTAAATGAGTCAGTTTTCAAGTAAAGGAGTCAGTTTCTAAGTAAATGAGTCATTTGTTAAGTAAACGAATCAGTTTTCAAGCAAATGAGTCAGTTTTCAAGTAAATGAGTCAGTTTTCAAGTAAATGAGTCTGTTTTTAGGTAAATGAGTCAGTCATTATTTAAATGAGTCAGTTTTCAAGTAAATGAGTCAGTTTTCAAGTAAATGAGTCAGTTTTTAAGTATATAAGTCTGTTTTTAAGCAAATGAGTCAGTTTTCAAGTAAATGAGTCAGTTTTCAAGTAAATGATTCAGTTTTCAAGTAAATGAGTCAGCTTTGAAGCAAATGAGTCAGTTTTCAAGTGAATGAGTTTGTTTTCAAGTAAATGATTCAGTTTTCAAGTAAATGAGTCAGTTTTCAAGTAAATGAGTCAGTTTTCAAGTAAATGATTCAGTTTTCAAGTAAATGAGTCAGTTTTGAAGCAAATAAGTCAGTTTTCAAGTAAATGAGTCTGTTTTTAGGCAAATGAGTCAGTTTTCAATTAATGAGTAAGTTTTCAAGTAAATAAGTTGGTTTTCAAGTAAATGAGTCAGTTGTCAAGTAAATGAGTAAGTTTTCAAGTAAATGAGTCAGTTTTCAAGTAAATGGGTCAGTTTTCAAGAAAAGGAGTAAGTATTTCAAGTAAATGAGTCAGTTTTCTAGTAAATGAGTCAGTTTTCAAGTAAATGAGTCAGTTTTCATGTAAATGAGTCAGTTTTCAAGTAAAAAAATTATTTTTAATCTTGTTTTTCCACTTGTTAACAATAATGCCGTGAAAACTTATAAAATCCAAATATAACTATATATATATAGTTGTGAAAAATAAATACATCATAAAGGGAAATATATCAGAGTAATTTGAAGAGGTATTAGCCATATAAAACTTATATTTAAATATTCAAAACTTAAATTAAATTATTTAATTTAATTTTACGACCTAGAATAATGAAAACACAAAACATAAAATATTATGTATTTTCAACAATAAAATGTTAAAACTAAACTTCTAAAGCTATATCCAAAATCTCCCTTTAATATAAACAGCATACAGCGTCTGACAAAAAAAACTTTAAAATATTGGATTTTGGGGGCTGATAAAAAAGGAAGAAAAAATGCGACCTTAAAAGAAAAAAAAGATATTAACAAAATATTTTTCCTTCCTCAGTTTTTATTAAAGATCTTAATAAAGAAAAATTTAATTTTAAAAGAAAAAATCTATGATTATTTTGTGCATACTGTATTATATTATATTATATTATATTATTATATATACTGTATTATTATTTTTTTTTCGTGGGAACATTTAAGACGTAAAAGTTACAAAAACTTGCATGATACTTTTTTCGTGTGTGACGTAAGCTTTCTCCAAAATGTTTTTTTAGAATTACATTTTAGTACTTGCGTTTTGCTGCCTGGTAGTGTAAATTGTGATATTTTAAGCTACATATGATAATATAGTCCAAGGGTGTAATGCAAGGAAAGTTAATTGCGGTCGTGTAAACATATTGAAACCAGTTATCTTTGGGCGGAATTTGTAAACAAGAATAGATGCATCATTGTTCGTCTAGTATCCGAGGAGGATAAAAGCATTGAATTTTGAAAATTTTGATAACTCACATAATAGTTTCCTATGACCAGAATATTTCATAGATTTTTTTATGTGAAAGATGGATCCCATGTCAGGCTTTGACATCTGTCTGATGTTTACATTACCGCCCAGAGACTGTACACTGCAGTACAAAAGATGTGTACACTTCTGAAATAACTCTCCTTGCATTACATCCTTGATATAGTCCATCCAAGGAGTAGTCCATCAGGTTGTAGAAATATATGGATTAGAAATAAAAGAAAGGAAAGTGTTGAGTTGCATCTATTCTTTGTGATTTCACTCTGTTTTGTCTTCTATTATCCAAGCCTACTAAGAAGGGTGGGTGGGGGAGGGAGGGGGGGAGGGAAGTTAGAAATGTATGAATATGTATTTATATATATTTACAAATATTTAGGATGCCTGCTAATTTAGTTTAATTTACGTGTTGAAAACTAGGAAACCAGGCGTGACACTTGGACATTAGACAAAATTGGCCATTCTGCACACTTCAGGGGGATTTTTCGCAGGGGTATATATTTTTCGAAAAATATCCCCTCTTCCCCGGCTATGTAAGAAATTTGCCTTTTACTGACATATTTTTCGAAAATCGTAAAAAATAATATCCTTTGAGAAGCTTTTTTAACAAGAGGCTTGGAAACTATCGACTCTAAACGAAGCAAAATAATCATCCGCATTTACACATTGTAGATTTTTTTTGAAATCGTTTGCATTAAAATTCTAACATAAGGATTGTGTCTTGCCACAAACTCGAATTTCTACTCTATATCGATGCAACCTCATGGTGTAAACCTTTAATATTTTAAACTATTTAATATAATAGAATTCATAGTTGAAATATCCAAGGTCTACGACATTGGGTTGCAAAGATATAGAGATTATAAAAAAGACTCAATCATTTCATGGTCATGAAATTGAGAAGAAAAGCTGGTGGTTTGAATTTTTGTTGAAAATGGCAGAATTTTGAGTTTAAATAATTATTTTGACAACTAGTATTTAATAAAAGTCCAAACTATGACATATTTAGCAGGAGAGAAAACTGCTTTGAAACCTGACCCGCTATACATTAATAAATTTGGCCAATACACTTCAAAGCTAATTCAGGGATAGATACACTGTTTGGGAAAAAAATATTTGGTTTAAAAAAAAAAAAAAATATTTAAGATTTCGAAAAAAATAAATTTTATGGAAAAAATGCCAACCTGTTTCATAAATGAAGCTATAAATATATCAGATTTCTGCAGTAAGTTTTTCCAATACCCGTTCACCCTCTAGACCCCTCATTAAAACAACAAAAAAACTTTTCTAAAAGTTATCATATTTTTCACGCTTTTTGTTGTTCTATCGATCCTTTAAAGTATCAACCCAACTAAATTTAAGATAAAATCTTCAAACTTATTCTTTTTCTTGACCTAGAAAGAAAATACTGTTTGACGAATGTATGGGGACCAAAAAGGTCCCATAAAAATGTTTGACAATTTCTAATTTATGCGTTTAGTGAAATGTGAACGATAAGAATTCAAAAAGCACATATTCGACAGTTAAAAGACTTACAACAATAAAAATGAATTACAACTGTTAATTTTTTTCTTCTTAATTTAATATATATATTTTTCCAGGGCAAATCAGAGCTAAGAAGAGAACTAGGGCATACGTTAGGTAAAATATCTTTCCAATTTCTACCCATCTGTACTTCTATTAACCTTCTATCTATCCAATTTCTACCTTCTATGCTCTTATTTATCCATCTATATCCAATTTCTACCGATCTATACATATATTTATCCATCTATCTATCCAATTTCTACCATCTATATATCTATTTATCCATCTAGCTGTCCAATTTCTACCCATCTATACTTCTATTTATCCATCTATCTATCCAATTTCAGCCCATCTATACTTCTATTTATCCATCTATCTATCCAACTTTTACCCATCTATACTTCTATTTATTCATCTATCTATCCAATTTCAGCCCATCTCTACTTCTATTTATCCATCTATCTACCCATCTACATCTATTTATCTATCTATCTATCTATCTATCTATCCAATTTTCTATCTATATATTCATCTATCTATCCAATTTTCTACTTATCTATTCATCTATCTATCCATTTGTAATCTATCTATTTTTCTATCATTTCATTAACCAACCTATCAGTCTATCTATTCATCCATCTATCCAGCTATCCATCCATCTATCCAGCTATCTATATATCAATCTCTCCATCCATCTATCTATGTATACATATATCTATTCATTCATCCAGTTTTCTATTTATCTATCTATCTATCTTGCTATCTATGCAATTTAATTCTTTTAATAATAGTAAATAAAATTGAATTGTTTATTCTCACATGAACAGCCACGATCCGTGTTATACCGTGTACACTATATAGATGATAGTTAGATCTATCTATCTAAATTTTTATCCTTCTGTCTATCTAGCCATCTAGAGTTTATATATTATTCATCTATACATCTTTATTTATATCTATCTATCTATCTATCGAGAAATCTGTTTATCAATATATGTTTATCTATTAAGCTATCTGCCTTTCCTTCTTTCTATTTATTTATCCATCTATCTTTTCATTTATCTATCTATCTATCTATCTTTCTATCTATCTTTCTATCTATATAATTTTTGCTTGACCCCCCTGCCCACAAGTCAAGTCAATCAAATGTATTATGGAATTTGCAAAAAAAAAATTGCCAACATCGCTAGGCCTAGGTTCGCAAGCGTTTTTGCAGACAGCAATTCTACGGAAAAATGCAATATCCGCTAGTTTTTGCTCTAATATTCAGTTTTGCTAAGGTGTATGAAAGAAGGTAAGGAGGGGGGTTAGCGATCCATCAAAATAATAAGTTTAGATATTTTTGAATTAAAAAGATAAAAATAACGGAAATTGAAAAGATACCGAAAGAAGGATGTGACAAATAGAAAATCAGAAACTTATGATCATGGGGAAATGGGGAAATAAAAAAGAGGGTATGGGGGTAGGAAGGAAAGAGAAGTGGAAAAGGATGGGAAGGAGAGAAATAGAATGAAGGAAGGAATGGATGGAGAGGGGAGGGAAGTAATGAAGAGAGGAGTGAAGTAATGGAGAGAGGAGTGAAGTAATGGAGAGAGGAGGGAAGTAATGGAGAGAGGAGGGAAGTAATGGAGAGAGGAGGGAAGTAATGGAGAGAGGAGGGAAGTAATGGAGAGAGGAGAGAAGTAATGGAGAGAGGAGGCAAGNTATCTATCTATCTATCTATCTATCTATCTATCTATCTATCTATCTATCTATCTATCTATCTATCTATCTATCTATCTATCTATCTATCTATCTATCTATCTATCTATCTATCTATCTATCTATCTATCTATCTATCTATCTATCTATCTATCTATCTATCTATCTATCTATCTATCTATCTATCTATCTATCTATCTATCTATCTCTATCTATCTATATATCTATCTATCTATCTATCCATCTATGAAATGTTAGTCTATACCACTGTTATTTAAATCGAACTAATTTCAATTTCTTTGAATCAAATTATTAGCAGTAAAATATAGAAATATTCAACTTTATCGAGTTTTCAAGAAACACTAAAAAATACCCTTTTTTATTTGATTACTTTAATTTGGAATTCCTAGATCCAATTTCGGGGTGAGAATCACCTAGTGTGAGATGAGAAGGGGGGGAAGCTGGAATTTTATCTATTTTTATGGCACTTTTTGACCCCCTTAACAGAGCTTAGAGAGGTACATTCTTACCACATTTCTACTTGAATCTTCAAGTGACACATACGGTCTATTTTATATCAAACTTATTTGACTTTTTATAGAAGAAGTCATTGGGTTTTTTTTGCCTTTTTTCCTACATTTTTCTTCGTTTTTTGGTTTTGATGGCATATCTTATTTATTTTTTCTTTGTCTACTAAAACCTCATATTTTTACTAATCGCTTTGTATAATTTTTTCTATTTCTCAGTATTTTCATTGAACTCTTATTTTTTTCTCCGTTTTTATACCTTTTTCATCTTTCTTTTTGTCTTTTTCCCCGGTTTTACGTCTATTTCATCTTTCTTTTTGTCTTTTTCTCCGGTTTTACGTCTATTTCATCTTTCTTTTTGTCTTTATTTCCGGTTTTTACGTCTATTTCATCTTTTTTTTTGTCTTTTTCTCCGGTTTTACGTCTATTTCATCTTTCTTTTTGTCTTTTTCTCCGGTTTTACGTCTATTTCATCTTTCTTTTTGTCTTTTTCATCTTTTTGTCTTGTTCATCTTTCTTTTTGTCTTTTTAATCTTTCTTTTTGTCTTTTTCTACGGTTTTACGTCTATTTCATCTTTCTTTTTTGTCTATTTCATCTTTTTGTCTATTTCATCTTTTTGTCTTGTTCATCTTTCTTTTTGTCTTTTTAATCTTTCTTTTTGTCTTTTTAATCTTTCTTTTTGTCTTTTTCTACGGTTTTACGTCTATTTCATCTTTCTTTTTGTCTTTTTCATCTTTCTTTTTGTCGTTTTCATCTTTCTTTTTGTCGTTTTCATCTTTACTAATTTTAAATACGATTTACCATTTGCTTGCTGAACTTATTCTGGTAAAATCTGATTTTTAAAAGAACCTTAAAAACTTGAACTGTTCGATTGGAGGATTAAAACCAAGGAGTAAGGAATAGAAGGGAGATACAATTGACGGGGCCCGCCCCACCATATGATTATACATGGTTTGCAGACGGTACTTCATTTGTATAAGAAAAATTCAGAATAGGTTATTGTATACGCGGTAAGTGTACATCAGACAAATATTTCTTATACAAATAGAGTACCGTCTGCAAAGCATGTATAATCATATGGTAGGGCGGGCCGCGTCAGTTGTATCTCCCTTTTTTTTTCTTGAATAAAAGACAGAATATTGATAAATATGAATCATTTCTGAAGATAAAAGTAAAAATGAATTTACTGTTGAAAAATAAACTGATAAGGAATGATAAGGCATTATTCAAATGTGTACATAATAAATAGAAAAAACAGACAGAAGCTATCTATCTATCTGTTTATCTATCTATCTATCTGTATCTATTTCTCCATCTATCTAACTATCTATCTATCTATTTTTAGATCTATTTATATATCATTTAGTCTAAATATCTAACTATCTTTTCTAGTTATCCTTTTATCTATCCATCTATCTATGTATCTATCTATCTTTCTATCTATCCATCTATCTATCTTTCTATCTATCTATCTATGTATCCATCTATCTATCTATCTATCTATCTGGTATGTCTGTCCATCTCTCTAATAAAATGTGAGTATAACAGGTCCGGTAATAAAATCTATCTTAAAAACATCTTAACGTCTCATCCAATCCAACCAATCCTCAACCCTATCTATCTATCTATCAAATCCATCTATCTATCCATCTGTCTTCCATCTATCTATCTATCATCTATGTTTTTTACGTTTATCTTTCTATCCTTAAACCAATATTTTATGTTTTTATATATCTATCCTTAACCCTTTCTATCTTTTTATCCAGTTAAATGTTTAGTTATCAATTTACTTAAAACTTAGTTTTTGTTTATAGAATATTTTTGAAAAAATAAAATTTTAGTCGAAATTTCAAGATTCTAACAGTAAATATTTTTTTAAATTTTATCTTTTGGAAAGGGAAAAAGTTCCGCGAGTGTATTATGCATTTGATCCGGGGGTGGGGGGGTATTTGTATTTAGTAAGAGAAGTGGGGGATTATTAGGGTTGATTATAAATTGAAATGATCCTGCCCAGTGCTGTATTTACCTACTGTTTATTTATGTAAACTTGTAAACTGTGTAGAGACCCCCAACTAGAGCCAGGAGACACTAACATTTAACATTATTAAACAACGAAACCAAGTTTTCTAATGGACTGTGCGTAATTTTAAATAACCCTTAATGCAAATAAGGCAATGTCCGATGCACAACGGTACCCTTGAAACCTTTATCTGAACAATAATGTCGGTTTACAAGGTTTACAACTGATAAATTCAGAAAATTCCAAAATTTAGAAATAGAGAGCTTTTGTTTAAGGTTTTCTCCATATTTAATCTTGAACCTTCTAGATAACCTCATAAAGCGATCTTAAATCCTAAGTTGGAGTCGCTATTACATATTATCATTATTATGCTGTAATCATGAAGCTAAGGGAGAGAAGACCCAATTATTTTTCTGAACATTTTATGAAAGCATCATCTCAAAATTGAAATGATATCCTTTTGCGAAAAAATTGAATCGGGTATTTTTAAACATGTTCACCCCCGGGTGTGGGGGGGGGAATAA